ATATTTACCTACTGAATTACTTGACTAAAAAACATAAATTGATTATTTTCAAATTCTTACATCAATTTAAGATGTAGGTATTTCACCAGTTATATAATCCCATATATTTTGGTCTCAGAACTTTCAGTGAAATATCGGCTTTTATTTAAGCGTTTACTGTATTGTTCAATCAAAAATCATAAATTTGATTATTCCTCGGATATCTATATATTTAATACTCGACATGAAACTTTGTGAACAATAAGGCTTTTTTTGTTTTAAGATTTAACCCCACATATTATATATCAAAATGTTCGTCTGGGTGTGTAGATGTGCAAACTGGCTTTAGATTTTTGAAATATATCTTTTTAAGGGCGTGGGCAGCCCTCAAAGTTCCTTCCATAAGGATAACATTGGGATTGATTTGAATGTTATTATATTCTGAAACAGATGTCAATACATTAGTTTAAAAAGTCCCAGCTGTTTTGTTAGCGAATTTCCCTATAGGGAAGTAGCTATTACCGTAGGTGGCACGGTAAGACCTAGACCCGGGACCGATTTACTTTTTCATTTTGATGTACCAAGAGGCCAAAAACACCATTCGTTCAAATTTTTATATATGTATATATATATATATATATACATGCGATAACTTGGGTAATTTTTGTCCGATTTTGATGAAATTTGGTTTAAAGGTGTAAAGCGGGATAAACTTGAATGAGTTCGCGAACCAGCAGGATCGGACCATGGGAACGGGGCTTTACGGGGGGTTTTATGGGGTAAAAATGGGTTTTTCTCACTTTTGACCCTCAAAACACAAAATTTCCCAATTTCTCCTTAAAAAAAAATCTCTAAAAGGTCTAAAAATTTTAGACCTTTTTAAAGAGCTTAAAAAAACCATTAATTTAGTATATAAAAGTATTTTTGTTCGGTTAATAGTAACGGAGAAAATTAAAAAAATTTAAATTTAAAATTCCCATGTTATTCTTATGGAGAATATTGTCAAATGTTGTAGTTTGCTTGTTATATTTATTTTAACGCTGCGGAGCAGCTTGGGTCCTCTAGTTTAAATTGAAAATTGTTTTGTTATTTATTTATTGCTATGGTTACCGACTGTAAACATCACTTAAATTTCTTTACCACTAAATGTGACATAATGGTACCATATAATTATAAAATAATTAATATTCATCAAATAGAGTTCGTTGGGACGTTGGGTGTCTAATCTAAGGATTTATAATGGCGTTTCCTACGTTTTCCAATAGGTAAAAGAAAATGTTGAATTTTGAGCGCGCTCTAGCGTCAGTTTGGGACTAGTGTACTTTCATTTAGTAAATGACAGTTATTGCAAAAAAATACTCCGTTTGTGAGTTATACCATTGACTATTGGATACAGAAGTTGCTGTATTAATAGTCAAAGGTTATACGCAAAAAAGTTAAACAAGTACAGTATTTTATTTGGTTTTTTTGTGATTTCTGAAGTAAGCTCACCTCTGGCGAGGTGACAAAGTTTAAAATCGGATTCAGCGCCAAAAAATACAAAAGAAACCACTGAGAAAAAATCTTCGGGAATTTTTTCCCGGGAAATTCCTTATATGATTGGACTAGTTGACAACAGCTGAGTTTTACTCCATAGAGGCTTAAACGAATTTTATTCCCTAAAGAATAAAAATGCTAATTTAGACCCGCAACGCATGCAGCAATGACGACTGTTTTTACTGCAGTATGACAAAAACAATCTATTACTTATTTAATACGCAAGCAAGTTTTTTGTGACAATTACTCCTCCGAAACTACTGAACCGATTGACATGATTTTGGTGTCATTGGAAAGAGCGTAACGTGAAGTTGTGCAGGAAACTTTCTTTTTTGCTAAATAATTAAAGAATGAGGCCCTGGGGCCCTTTAAAGTTTCATATTTCTCCATAAGATTAACATGGGAAACAAACATTGTTATGAAACTCCAGCTGTTGTCAGAAATGCTGTTCTGCTATTTAATTTAATTTGTTTACAAGGAGAATTGTTTCTTATGGTGCCATGTGGTTAATGAATTATACTTTAGCATATATATATATATATATATATATATATTTTAAATGCTATACACTATATAAAATGATAGTATTGTAATACATTGAGAGATATCATTTGAATAATCAATAAGCACGATTGAGCCTTTGCCTATATGTTTCCTATTAAGTGTGTTGTAACTGTTTCTTATAGTATATTATAATATCTCAAAGTAAAACCGAACTATTCTTTTCTGTATTTTCACCCCGTAGCGAAGCACGGGTAGAGCAACTATAAACAACTATACAGTACAGTATAGTATAATATGAACCCTTGATGACTCCGCTCAATTTTGTGGATGCATCTGCGAACGCCACCTATAATAGTTGAAAAATTGTTGAATTTTGGAATGGCAATTAAAAAAGACAATAGGTCGTTGTTATTATTATTAGTTAAATAAGTTAATGTATTTCATGAATACAATACCAAAGAAGGCAGGAATACCAAAGATGCAGCTTATAGAGTCATATCAAAGTCAAAGACTTGAAGAACGAAGACTAAAATCATCATTGATCTTATGAAAGAAGTCTACGTAATTCATTTAGAAATGAAATTTAAGAAGTCAAAGAAGAGTGGTAGGAGGAGGTGACGTTTACATACAAGCGGCTATTTACTGGTGGCTAATGGTTATAATGTGAACCCTACATATCCGCTGGCTGCTGGCCATATTTACCAATCAGTGGCTGGTGGTAGTAGTGGCTGCTAACACGGCCGCCTTTAACTCCAGGCCTTCGAAGTGGCAACGTCGCAAGTGGTGTTGTAACAGCTGTTTTGTTTGGATTTTTAAGGAGCTAATGGTGTTTGTGTATTTACGAAAGATTGGTTACTGGACTATGGCAATATTGAATCCGCTTAAAAATGTACAGATATAGATTTTTAATTCATATTGTTTCGGTTTTTCAACTCTGTATGTTTTATTTTCAATATTTAATAAATTTATGTTCATTGAGCGGAGCGAGCGAAGCTCTTATACGTCGACTCTTATGCATTTCGTAATACGCAAACTCCTCCTAGACGGCTGAATCAATAGTTTTCAAATTTTGCATGGTGATAAAGACCATACCGGTGAGTGCCAACATCTATATGGCGTTAAAGAAATCTCTCAGGAATCCGCCCCACTGGGTCTAAAATTTTCAATGTAATCCTTATGGAAGCAGTATTTGACACATAAACAAAGACATATGATCAGGGGCCCATTTCATAATAAACTACAAGTTACAACTTGTAACTTGTATTTTCCATTAGATTTGCAATGGGCGATCAGCTGATTTACTAATAATATTATTTTGTACTTTATTATGAAATTGGCCCCAGCTGTTGACTTTTGAATGCAGTAGATAAAGAAATAGCTGATAGCATTATTATTCCACATATATTAGAACATAAACGGTATGGATCATAAATATAACCAAATGACGACACTAGCTTGAGGTCCGTGACGTAGGAAGTGGTGAAGGAAGTAGTAAAGGTGAGCAGTCTGGAGTGTAGAAACTGTTTATGACGATTAGATGAAGGTATCTGAATTCCTAAAATTGTATGGGAAGGGAGGAAAACAGGTCCGCGACGTAGGAAGTAGTCAAGGTGAGCTGTCCGGAGTGTGGGAACTGTTGAAGACGATTAGATTAAGGTATCTGCAATCCTAAAATGCTATTGGAGGGGAAGGAAACAGGTCCGCGACGTAGGAAGTGCCAAAGTAGTGAAGTACAGTAGTGTAAGTAGTAAAAGCAAGATGTCCGGACTGTGGGAACTGTTTATGATCATTATATTAAGGTATATATGCAATCCTATGATGCTATGGGAAGGGAGGGAAACAGGTCCATGACGTAGGAAGTGATGAAGGAAGTATTAAAGGCAAGCAGTCCGGACTGTGGGAACTGTTTGTATTAAGGTATCTGCAATCCTATGATGCTATGGGAAGGGAGGAAAAAAGGGCCGTGAAGTAGGAAGTGGTGAAGAAAGTAGTAAAGGTGAGTTGTTCGGAGTGTGGGATCTGTTTATGACCAATAGATTAAGGTATTTGCAATCCAATAATGCTAAGGGAAGGGGGGGACAGGTCCGTGACGTAGGAAGTGGTGAAGGAAGTAGTCAAGGCGAGCTGTCCGGAGTGTGGAAATTGTTTATGACGATTAGATTAAGGTATATGCAATTCTAAAATGCTATGGAAAGGGAGGGAAACAGGTCCGTGACGTAGTAAGTGGTCAAGGAAGTAGTAAAGGCGAACAGACCGGAGTGTGAGAACTTTTTATGACGATAGATAAGGTATCTGGAATCCTAAAATGCTATGGGAAGGGAGGGAAACAGGAAACTCATACGCCTTGGGGCCAACCTATGTATTAGACAAAATTCCAAAATCATATGACAATTTACTTATTTTTTATTTACATTTCTATTTATTTACTATTTGTTCACAACTGTGATCATGGCCTAAGAGCCGAAACATGTTAGTTACTCGATAAATTAATAACTTAAAGGGTACTAAATGTTTAATTATTTATTTCATTTACTAATAATAATAATAATAATAGTAGCCCTCAATAGTGAACAATATATTTATTCAATAAAAATGTATATATAATATATATACGAATTTGAACGGATGGGGTTTTTGGCCTTTAGGGACCTTAAAACGAAAAAAAAATCGGTACTCCGTCGGACTTACCATGAGTACTACGGTAATAGCTATTTCCCTATATTATGGGAAATTCGCTAAAAGTCGTAAATGGTAGTACATGGTAGTACCATAGAGGTTAAACATACTTCCATGGGAGTGTGTTTAATCTATGGTAGTACGTAGAGTAAGCTAATGTGTTATGTACTGTCTGACTGTGTCAATTTCTGTCATAGACCCCTACATACAAGAGCATACTGTCTGTTCTGTAATCTGTTTTAATGTTTACTGTTTTACTGTTTATTGTTTCTGTTTCTGCTCTGCTTATTTAAGGTTAAGTGGTTAATTGGTTTAAGGTTAATTGTAGCGGCATTGGAAACAATTATAAGCGGCAAGGCAACGATTCAGAATTGGGAATAGAAGTCGAGGCCCCAGATCAAGTTTTTTCTTCAGTAAAGTTTAGTACAACTATTTTATTCGGTTATTCTTAATATAGATTCTCAATCAAAGGTAGCCTAGCCTTGTCTTGCTGTGTACCTACTACCTACGCCTATTTTGGATGATGGGCACATCAACAAATAATGCACAAATTCTAGATATGGACAACAAAGAGGAATGTTCTGAAAAGTCAAATGACGAGGAAATAGAAGATTTAGAGTGGTCTCCAGATCAAGAAATTCTCCTTTTATATTCACTTCATGGATTGAAACCTGTTGGTAAGAAACAACATTATATAGCCTAGTTTATGAGTCTAGCTTAGGTTTTTAGCTTGTTGATACTGACTTGTAGAGTTAAGTTTTTTGCACTCTTTCAAACATTTCCACTTAAAATAAGTTAAGTAGTATAACAATCGACTACCGGTATCCTACTTAGTGCATCCTAATTTGTTTAAGTTAGGACCTAAGTTACTTAAAAAAAGTTGAATATAGGCTATTAACACGTTCACTGCTGAAAACCTTTATACAGGCCCGGGCGGAGCCCCGGCACGCTAACTGAATCAGCGATCGCTATTGGCATTGAAATATCTCAGTAAGACGAATCACAATAGAGCAGTGGTAATTGTTCTGCGTTACCCTGAAAGTGGACGTAGTTCACTGAAACACCCAAAGGTAGCAGCACTGCCTGGATCAATAACCAGAGTCTTTCCTAATAATTTATGGCTCGAATAGAGGAAATCCCCGAAAACGGGCCAAAATCATTGCCAGACAGGATTTTACGGGAATGTTTAGTACCAACCTACACCAAAATAAAGGTTGCATTCTATGCTACAGGCTGGCAAAAATTAACGTTCCCTTGATAACACTAACTAAAAAACTCAACAGCGTTTTTATAGTAGGCCTACTACGAAAACAAATTACTACTAATTGTAGCCTACTATTTACTTAGGCCTATTCATACTTGTGAAATCCCCCTTTTCAATCAATTCATTTTCTTCAAGTGGGTCTTTAACACATTGCGTGCGGGTCAGTCGCCGGCGACTGATTCCTTATCATTGAGATAAGTGGAATTTTCAAGAGTAAACATGACGGCCGCATTGAAAGAGTTAAAATGGCTGCAAGTGTCTTTACTTAATAAATAAGAAGTTGTAAAGGTTTTGTAGCCTAACCATGATAATCTAACTTAACTTAGATGGTCACAGCTACCAAAGCCGTTTGAAAACCCTTTATTACGAGGAAAGTGCAAAAACCTGTTCCACTAAAATAATGAGTCAAAAAACTACTTTTAGGTATTATTAGGCTACTCCTGATCATAGTCGATCGAATAAAAAGACATTAGGCCTATATTCAACAAAAAATTCCTTACAATGAAGCTGGATTATTGAACACTTTTTAAATTATCTCTACACCTTTAAACAAAGTTCCTGTGTTTTAGGTCCTCATAAACATTTCCGCATGATAAAGATTCATGAGCGTCTTTCAAGTGCAATGAACAAAAGAATTTCTCCATCTATCATTTGGAAGAAACTTAACTGTTGGTATGACATGGAAGCATTGGTAAGTGTATTCACGACTACAATCGCATACACACATAAGGTAGACTATTATGCTTTAAGCTTTAAGGTACTTGCCCTAAGCCCCAGTTTGTAAGGTGAGGAATTAGTGGGAAAGTGCCTCGGAGGACATTTGTCAGATTAGAGCTGAAATTATTGAAATTTGCTAAGGTATCAATTGTAAAATGATCTTTCTGGACCAATTAGTAGCTATAAATCTGCAATCAAATGAGTTAGGGGGAGGTAACAATATTCTATATTTACCTGAAAGCATATAATATTCTATATTGTACTAGGTATGCGGCCTCATGTAGGTATGTCTGCCAATTGAGCGGAGTGAGAACGATATAAAAAATAACCTTCTTCACAAATACCTACAATTTTTTATAAAAAAATATAGTCTACGAGATTACAACATAAAACATAAGTTTATGTTATTGATCAATACAAACCTCTTGATTTTAATCCATCGTTATAAGCAATTTTCTTGAGTCTTTCTATCTCTTTATTCTTTTTTGCCATTTACTGTTTATGCTTTTGACTCCCTCTATATAAAATGGCTCAATCGGCAAGCCCTCGGTGGTTCTAAATGCTACGTAGTTTAAGCAGAGGAAAAATTTTGACTTTCATAGGTCCACCAAAGCCTGATATACAATAGCCTACATCCTTAACTGCGATGTACCGTAATCGTAAAGGCAAGATTTACTGGAAATTGCCTTTGAGAATATTTTACACAATTCAATTTAGAGGAAGCAGTTTTTGGAGGATTGTCAACAAACAACCCGTTCGGGTCCAATGTATTTTTCAAATCCATATATAAATCCCAAAGTACTCATGAACTTTTGAGAAAACTACAAGTCACGCCTCCATAACCATATACAGTACTTAAAAAAAAACTATTTTTTGATGTGTTAGTTAGGCCTACTATTGCCCCTGCCCCCAAAACCCAAATTTGGGGGGGTTGTCCCAAATTTTTAAGTGTAAACCCCTATTGAGTGATCATTTTAAAGGTCTCATTGAGTTAAACACAACAGCGCAAATTCAAGGTCGATATCTCGCTCATGTACAAAATGGCTGACCTTTTAGTGTTTCTTATGGTCATATCCCAAAAGTCCCAGTACGGTTTAATAAATCCTAAATGAAACTAGCTACAGTTAATATTTCAGACATGACTATTGCCCCTGCCCCCTCGGACCTCGACCTCGGATTTGTTCTGTTGTGTTTAACTCAATGAAACCTTTAACATGATGGGTCACTCGATAGGGGTTTACATTTAAAAATTTGGGGCAAACCACCAAATTTGGTTTTTGGGCGCAGGTGCAATAGTTACTAACACATCAAAAAAAGGTTTTTTGTAGCCAGGAGTCATGTCTGAAATATTATTACTGAAGCTAGTTTCGTTTAGGAGTTATTAAACCGGTACGGGTCTTTTGGGACAGTCTGTAAATAATTCTGTAAGACAACATTTTTACCAGAAAATTGTGGATGTCTGGTAAGTTGCAGAAAAGTGGGAGAGGTCTTAAATTAAAGAAAATAGCGGAATTCCCATAAAGTTACCAGAAAACGAGAAAGCCTATAACGTAAAATATCCACCATAAGAAAATCATGGGGACTGAAAAACTTGTGCATTCTAACCAGCTGTTACTTATTTATTTGCAATGTTAACATTAATTTATTCCGAAAGTCAATGTTGTTAAATAATTCCATTTTTATAATGAGTGAAGTAACTAGACAGGGTAGGGGAAGACGAAAGAAGAGTATCCAGGAATTCAACTGACACAAGAAATGCTGAAAGAGAACGTCATGTAATGCATAACTATGAAATAAATCCACAAACTGGTTTACAACCTGCCTTCAGAAGAACGCTGGAAAATGACATGAGTGTTGTTTCTCACAATCTAGGTCCTCTTAACAGCACTTGCATGCATTGTGGCGCATTTCACTTCGCAGAGGAGGAGGCCACAAATGGACAATTCAACGCATGTTGCCACAATGGACTCATTAACATGCCACAACCTCAAGTAAATGACAAACTAAAAGAACTGTTTTTACATGATTCTAACTTCATAAAAAATATAAGGCAATACAACATTGCAATGACTTTTGTGTCGCTTTCCGCTATACAAAAAGAGAATCAAGGAAATGGGCCTTTCTGTTTTAAAATTCAGGGACAAATTCATAGATATATTTCTGACTTACTACCACAAAATGGGGAGTTTCCTTCATATGGACTCCAGCAAAAGGAAAACCAAAATATAAAACAATAAATACTGTCAAAGTTAACAATCATACTATCTGTTAACCCCTAAGCGCAATCTTACCAAAAAGCATCAGATGTGATTGTAAGTCAGGAGCAAAACCACAACCTGGTTAGGGGCCATGGCCCCTACAGGCCACTAGTGTAATTATATTTGCCACTTGTTCCATTTTCATATTCAGTTTACCAATTCTGAAATTGCCGCCACCCTCTCCCCCTGTAATGAGAGTAAGAATGAATGAAAAAGAACTTGTATTACCTTTAGAAAGGTTTTTAATAACTTGAACAATACTGCATTGAATTATAATGGACTTGTTTACAAACACAACAAAACAATAATAAAGAGTTGAAGACACATGTTTTTTACTACATTCTTCCTCCCTAATGTTAATGAACGTAGTCATTTAAATAATTAGGAGGTCTTCTGCTTCTGAAACTTCTTCTCGGATATGTGTTATGGTTCTCTCCTCTAGAAGCTTCTTGTCTAGGTTGTAAATTCTCTGCAGTAGTATTCATTTCATCTTCTTGGTTCTGTGTTAATGATGGACTAGGAAAGTATTCAGGTTCAGGTTGAGAAGTGGGTAATAGAATATTTTCATCACTCTCAAAATCGGTTTGCTCTATGTCGGTTTGGTACTCACCAACCGGAGCAAGATGACGTGTAGACACGGTAGTTTCTCTTCCGTCAGGCAACTTAACATGAGCATACTCGGCATTCCCGTGAAGAAGTTGGACCTCTTCAACAAGTGGCTCATACTTGGACGTACGATTAAATCTCTTCAAGTAGACAGGGCCGGAATTGAGAAGCCATGAAGGAGCTGAAACACCATTGTTCCCAGATCTACGTGGATGTAAGAACATACGCTCGTGAGGAGTTTGATTTGTGGCTGTGCAAAGTAATGATCTCACTGAGCTGAGTGCATCCTCTAAAACTGTCTCCCATTGGTTTATTTCTAAATTAAGTGATTTCAACGCTAGTTCAATTGTTTTCCATAGAATGCCGTTATACCTTTCTACTTGCCCATTACCTGCTGGATTGTACGCAGTGGTTCTACTAGTTGAGATTCCAAGTGAGTTCAAGTAGCTTTTTAAGTCTTGGCTCAGAAATGATGTTCCTCTGTCCGAATGTATGTAACTAGGAACCCCAAAAGTAGAAAATAATGTTTTTAGTTTCGACTTAACTGTTGACGATGACATGTCTGAACAAGGGAAAGCGAAAGGGAACCGTGAAAACTCGTCTACTATTACTAATAAGTAACGGTTTCGACTTGATGAAGGCAGCGGGCCTTTGAAATCGATATTCAGCCGTTCAAATGCAGAAGTGGCTTTAATCAAAATCCCTTTGTGTTTGAAGAATCTAGGCTTCACAGCAGCATACACATTGCAGGAGTTTGTTATTCGTCTGATTTCATCAATCGAGTAGGGCAAGTTTTTACTTCGAACCCAGTGGTACAAACGTGTCACACCTGGATGACATAGATTCACATGTAAATCAATCAACAGTTTTTCTTGATTTTGGATTGAAGAACATACTCTAGTCAGGGCATCTGCAGCCATATTATCTTTACCGGGTCTATATACAATATCATAATGAAAGCACGACAATTCCAGTTTCCACCTCATTATCTTTTCATTTTTCACTTGACGGTTGTTATCGAACATAAAAGAAACCGACCTCTGGTCAGTAATCAGCTTGAAATGTTTACCAACCAAATAGTGACGCCATTTCCGCAGTGCTTCCACAATAGCTTGTGCTTCTTTTTCGACACTTGAATGTCTTTGTTCTGCTGGAGAAAGTATCCTTGAGAAGAATGCGACTGGACGGTTCGATTGAGTCAAAGTAGCAGCAATGGTACTCTCAGATGCATCAGTTTCTACGATGAACTGTGCTTCAGGGTCAATGCAGCTTACTACAGATCCGATGATTTCACTTTTTATAGTTTCAAAAGACTGGAGCCCTGCTTTGGACAAAGGGAATGTAGTACGCGCAAGTGGAATCACTTTGGTAGCATAATCTGGTATAAGTGAAGCATAATGTGAAAACATACCAAGGGTCCTCCTCAGTGATGCGGTGTCTCTGGGTGGAGGTAAATTTTTCAAAGGATCTAGTCGACTGGGGTCAGGCTTGATAGTTTTTTTAGATATATGATAGCCCAACAAGTTGATCGATCGCAGTGAAAATGAAGACTTCTCATTATTAATAGTTAGGTTGTATTTGGATGCAGCTTCGATAAACTTTTTTAAGTTTATATCGTGTTGTTCTTGTGTTTTTCCACAGATTGTGACATCATCAAGATAGGCGTAAGTGTCTTGTAACTGTTCTGTTTGGATGACTTGGTCAATTACACGTTGGAATGCTGCCACCCCATTAGTGACCCCAAACGGGATACGCTTAAACTGGTAGAGTTGACCACAGGCCTCAAAAGCTGTGTAGTGCTTTTCTTCATTTCTTATCTTTACTTGGTGGTACGCACTTTTCAAGTCGATAGTACTGAAAAACTCATAATTTGCAACTTTGTTAACGATATCATCGATTCTAGGTAGTGGGTAAGCGTCCAGTAATGTAAAACGATTTATAGTCCTGGAGTAGTCAATGACCATTCTTTTTCTATGATTTTCAGTAGTAACTACTAATGCTTGAGCCCTCCATGGAGACATACTAGGCTCTATAACATCGTCTTTAAGCAATTTACTTACTTCGTTTTCAATAAACTTTAAATCATCGGTGCTATGGCGATGATACTTGATTGCGATTGGCTTACATTCCGGTTTTAAATTAGAAAACAAAGATACCGGTTCTACAGTTGAGGCTGCCACGCTACATACGGTTAGTTGTGACTTGTTGCCACCAAAGACTACTTTAATACTTGCATGGTTTTTCAAAATATCATGTCCAACAATTATATCTGCACAAAGATCTGGTAACAATGAAAGATTAACTTGCTTGTAAAAGTGATCAAGAATGACAAGATTTACTTTGCATTGACCCGTTATGTCGGATGTGATTGATGTAGTAGCCATTGAGACAGTACCCCTACCTGGTTTTATAGGAATACCTAAATTAAGAGCAGTAGATTTGTTTATAAAACTTAGAGAGCTTCCCGTATCTATCAAAGCAGAGACAGATTTACCATTAACTAGGGCTTGTACTGTACTCTTTGTTAACCCACCGGGCGAAGCTGCTAGGTCAATAGAGTTCATTACTTCTTTAGATTTATCCAATTGCTTGGTTTGTAGTTTACCTGCCCTGCAGACCTTAGCAAAATGCCCCTGTTTACCACAGTTATGACAAATTGTATTTTTAGCTGGACATTTGACCCTAGGATGTCTTAGATTACCACAAAAGAAACATTTTTCAGTCACAGCAGCTAGAGAACACTTTTCTAAACTGCTTGAAGTTGCATCAAGATTCTGATTGCTCGCTTGAGTTTCTTGGGACGAAGTTGCATTTACTATAGATTGGAAAGATTGAAAAGCTAATGATTGTTCATGTGCAAGTTCTAGGGATCTGGCTTGACTATATGCCTGATCTAGTGTCAACGAAACATTTTCTAGTAAGCGCTGGCGAATTGCAGAAGATTTTATTCCAGCAATAAATGTGTCACGGATATAATCATCCCTATTCTTTTCAGCTGTGACAGCTTTAAACTGACAGTCTTTACTTAGTAATTTTAAAGCCTGGAGATATTGGTCAATAGTCTCCTCAGGTTGCTGCTGACGTGCAGATAGTTTATGTCTGGAATATACTTCATTTACAGGTTTTACATAGATACTTCTTAGCACAGATATAGCATCGTTATACGTACCGCTTTCACTTATGTACTCGTTGATTTCCGCAGTAATAAAGTTTATAAGTATTTTGAGTTTATCGGAGTCGGATGGTTGTGGTGTGATGCTGGTAACAAAATTCTGAAATGTTTTGTGCCAATGTGTCCATTCCTTACTTGCAGATGATGAGTTTGGATCTACACTAAACTTGTCTGGCTTTAGGATCGTATCCATTTCACAAAATCAAGTTATTAAAATTGTAATGAGAGTAAGAATGAATGAAAAAGAACTTGTATTACCTTTAGAAAGGTTTTTAATAACTTGAACAATACTGCATTGAATTATAATGGACTTGTTTACAAACACAACAAAACAATAATAAAGAATTGAAGACACATGTTTTTTACTACACCCCCCTTTCCTACCAGTTTTTAAACACAGATGCTACACAACAATTGCAGGGACATCAGAAATTTTAGACTGTTAAATTTTTACAGACACTTTCTGTTATTTCTATGAATAAATGCTTATCTTAGCTCGAGGATGTGACTTTGTAAGAAATATTCATATCACTCGAGCTTTATGGTGCGGCTTGACTTGAAAATCAAGCTGCTCACTTACCTCTAGTATTTTGAGCTAACTTAAATAGAAGTCGGAACCCCATATGATTTCATGGCTTAAGTCTGTAGGCAACATCGCTGGCAGTGTCCCTTCACTGCTCCCTGTGTTTGGGGTCTTCCATAACGTGCTGCAATACTGCTGGGATTCCGCCTAGGTACCTGGCCTAAGAACCTTTGATCAAAATCAGGATCCAGAAATAATGAGCAAATATGAGGAATGTACACATTTTTACCATTTAGAAAACATGTCTCGATGTCACATTAGACAGTATCATGCTTAATCTTAGGGACTGATTTATTATTGTAGGTGTTGGCATATAAAACTCCTTCTCACAATCTTGCTAAACTATTTATTTTTTTAGGATGAAGCTGAGGCAGAAGCAGATGCAGCCAGTGCGGTTGAAGTAGACTTTGAGCTACCACTAGATGAATACAGTGAACTGATCGAGCAAAAGCTGAGAGAACTCCCCCCAACAATACGTAGGCAAAACACTGAACCAGAGGCTAATATGGAAAACATAGTGGAACTACAGAAAGATAATCAGGCAGAGTCGGATACTTCATCTCAAGACCAAAAATTGGGTTTGTCTGATGGAGAGAGTAGTAAAGAATCAGATTCTTCTAAAGGAATTACAACCCCTAAAAATACTGGAAAAGAAATACCTAAAAGAGGTTCCAAGAGAACTTTGACTCCTGTTAAAGATAACACACCTCAAAAAAAAGATAGTTCTAAAGAATCTGGCAAAAAAGATACTTTGAAGAAAGAAGATTCAAAGAAAGGCCAGGTAAGAGACGAAGAGAAAATAGAAGCTGTCAGAAAGTCAGTTTTGGATAGTAAAAAAGATCTCAAAAAAGAGGACGGTAATAAGTTAAATAAAAAGGACTCATTGACCAAAAAACTCCCGGAGCAAACAAAAAAAGAAGTCGAGGCTAAGAAATCAGACCAGAAAAAAACTTTAGACACTTCAAAAAATCAAAGGGAAACTCCAAAGCCACTGCGGAGTGATTCCGCAAAAAGGGGTGAGACTAAAATAACTCGTTCAGAAACACCTAAGCAGAAAGTAGATTTGAAAAAAGAAGTTAATTCAGACAAGAAGAAAGAAATGGAAAAGAAAACTGAAGGAAAATCTCCAGAAAAGACACCTGAATCTTCCAGAACAGGAAAGTTAAGAGGTAGAAAGGACGTGGACTCTGAAAAGCTGGAAACTCCAACAGGTAGGAGACTAGTGTAGGTCTAAGCCTGATTAGTTTTGATAAATTTGAATGAAGTGTTTCTTATATGTCAAAGCATTTTTGTTACTTCCATATTTTTACGTTAGTGCATTTGAACCTCACATTATGGTACAAAGTAAATGGATTAAGTAAGGGGAGATAGTTAAAATCAATAACGCAACTATATCAAACAATAAAACTATTTGCGATGTTTCAAGCAGCAATTTCTCGCCCTAGCTTCATTAATAACACATCAGCTGGTATAGCTTACCCTGCACTGTTCATCAAATCGTAAAGCAACCTACAGTTATATTGTTATTAATTATCATAATCAAAAGATTGTCATTTTAATTAACACGAGTAGTTGTGTGTAGTTGCAATATTACATTTGGATTACTCATTTGCCAGTCACTTCTAAAATGTAAGTTACTGTATACTATATAAAACCAGGAATAACGTTACCTATAATAACTAAGACATTTTAGTTACGTATTGGAAAGTTGAAATAAATAATTATTTTTCTGTGAGATCTTTCAAATTTGTGTATTTTTAAGTGTATGGTAAGTAGTAGAATCATGGGAGCTGGCTCAAATCAAAAGAATTGAACTTAGCATTCTGAATAAACTGCTGAATAAACTATGAAGTTTTTCTTCTAATTTAAAGGTTATTGTTGTACTTTAGTATTCACAAACATGTTTAGTGCCTTTAGCAGAGTTAAACCTCTGGAGTAATTTAAATTATTTATTGAAAATAACATCTACAAAAACAAACAAAGACAAACATCAAACTGTTTTTACACAAAAGATATGTTTTATTGGGATATCTATTCTGACACATAGATAATTTGATTCTGAGTTTGTTTAAATATTACAATAATTTGTTTTACATTTGAGCTTTTCAGGGACTTATGTCCCTACAAGCCACTAGTTTCCATTTATTCTACTTGGTGGTGTTCTATGACTTTCTCATTGTTTCATAGGTTGCAAATCGGCTCTTTCAACGATTGCTCAAGAAATGCAGCACAGTGTTAACTCAGTTTACTTTTTAGTATATCAAATTGACCAGGCTTTCTCGCTTTTTCCATTTTAATATTTACGCCAACCCAAATTCTAATAGCCTGGTAAATATTTCACTTCAACCAAGTCAGTAAATGTTTTTAGCACACGTTTACCTTAAATAATTTCTACTAAAATATTTATAGCGATTAAATTATTCAGTTTATTATATTGTAAACAAATATGTTCTTCATAAGGATAACATGGGAACTTTAACACCTACTGGGGCAAACCCAAGAGATTTTTTTTTTTTAAATGTAAGGTCAGTGAGAATTTCTATAATGCCCATAGAGTACGTCTTAAGTTATCACCAGTTAATGTTAATTATGCATAAAATATAGTAGGCCTACGGTATGTCTAATTAGGTTTTATACCAGTAGGGACTTAAATATCTTTATCAAAGTACTAGCTGTAACCCGCGGGCTTTGCCCCGTTTAACTTCTTAATTTTCAAGATTATCTCGTTCGCATGGCTCAATCACGTCCTGGTTGAAGTTTGTTCGCTACGCTCACTCACCTTTAGGTTGGAGCTCGTTCGCTGCGCTCACTTGCCTTCAGGTTAGCTCGTTCGCTACGCTAACTCGCCTCCAGGTTGAAGTTTGTTCGCTACGCTCACTCACCTTTTGGTTGCAAATTAGCTGTTGTCATAAATGTAAAAGAAATAATAGTGCTGCACCCTGTTGGTAATCCTTGTAACTTTAATGCTATTGAACATCATAGAACAGAACCAACTTGTTTAATTGAAACAGCTGTTAAGATTCAATAATTCCATTTCTCATAAGGTTAACATGGGAAACTCCAGAGCCACTGGGGCGGAGCCCGAAAGGATTTTTGAAATAAGAATATGCCTAGATATGTTAATCGGGAATGTGAGCTATCATCATGCCAAATTTCAGCCCAATCCGACCAGTATTTTTCGAGTTTACTTTTCCCATACACACATACGCACATACAGCAACCACCTCTTTTTTAATAATAGTATAGATTATTTTTGTAAAGACATAAAAGTTAAAAGGCCAACAAGTGGTCAAAAAGATTTATACTAAACTATCACGGCAATATACAAGCACCGCAAGCCTGCAGATTGGGGAACGCAACACCCATCACTGTTGGAGCGAACAATCTTGGAGTGAACGCACATTTCAAGATTATTAAATATTTAAATTATACTGATCGTTCACTCCAATGTGCATTCGATCCAATGTACAGTAAAATTCAAAATTAATATTTTCTACTGGTTAGTCTACTTCTAGAACTGACTGTACCCGTTGGATTGAATGAACTGTGGAGCGAACGAACAGGCAAATAATTTGTAAAATTACTTTTTGGAGTGAACGATCTTGGAGTGAATAAAACATCTCGGTAACTAATAACCGTACAAAAACACTTTGACATGCTGAATTGTTTGTTTTTTAAACTCTTTAAAAGGGTCTAGAGAAAAATTGGGAATGTGTTTAATTTGAGGGTCAACAATGAGAAAACCCAATTTTTACCCCACAAAATCCCCTGTAAAACCTAAAAAGGTCTAGAGAGAAATTGGGAATGTGTTTGTTTTTAGGTCACAAATGAGAAAAACCAACTATAACTCCATAAAATCCCCTGTAAAACCCCGTTCCCATGGTCTGATCATGTTGGTTCACAAACTCATTCAAGTTTATCCCACCTTACACCTTAAAACCAAATTTCAGTTAGAGTTGTAAAACTTCTTAATGTTCCAAAGTTATAAAATAACCAACGTATTAGGGGTTTTCAGTTATTCAATAAACATTAAATTGATTTTTCATTTACAGGAACAAAGCGAACAAAAGAGTCTATGTCAAAGTCCACTGAATCGTTAACAGACGAACCTCCTAAGAAAACAAAAATGCCAGCAGTCAAGGGCAGACCCACTCGTAATTCGATGGAACCACAAAAGCCTGCGAGCCCTGCACCTTCCCCTCAGAAGAGAAGAACCAGAATGTTGTAAGACATGTAACCGTTGTCGCATCACACCTTTGATAAAGCCATCAAAGAGTAAACAGTAGAAACCCTCACCACCATGGGACCAAGTCCATGGCCGGAAACCAACCTAACTTATAAAAACAATAATTTTTACTTAATGATAATAATTTGGAATCAATAAATGTAGTTGTAAGTGTCAGAGACTAACCATCACAAGAAGACTTCTCATCCCATTGTAAATTTTGAAGCTAGTTTTTCTTGTCTAGTTTATGTCTGTTGACACCAGTAGCATAGCAACAGTGGAACAGTTGCTTCAGGGCGGCAAGCACTAGGGGGCGGGGGCGGCGCCAGGCTAGAATTTTTTGTGTGCTAATAATGAACTATGAATTCGGTTAAAAATATTTGTACAAAGTATGCGGGTGGTGATGTGGTAAGTTTTAAACGGAGAGTTGAGTTAACCCTCCCAGTGTTACTTGACGAAAATTCGACAAGCAGCACACTTTGTGTAGTGTTACTTGTCGATTTTTCGACACGCAGACATCGTTTACGGCGAAGGCTCTATGACTGACTGAATCGGATTGAACTGGATCGAGTTAGGTATCGTTCTTTCCGTAATATTCTAAGCAAGCGCTATTCATTTTAGTTCCGAAAATATTGTAGCAGACAGCTGACGTGCGTGTATTTGTAAACAGCTAGGCTCCCCCGGACCGATGACTGATGTGTTTTATTACGTTTATCATTGTTTTAGTGTTAAAAATCAAAAGTAGTGATATACGTGGTGCATTATAAGAAGATTTAAGTGGTTTTGAAGTGCTGGTTGATGATCCTGAAGAAGTAGGTAGTGATATTGATGTAAATTATCAGCCAGATTCCTAGCTATGGTTAGGCTATGCATTCTTAGCTAAACGCTATGTACTGAAATCAGTTTTTTGCCCATAACTTATTTATTTGCAAATCTACTTCCTTATATTATTATATATTTGTAATCCTCATAAAATTTAGAACAAAGTGGCTATTTTCAAATATTTATAGGCCTATAATTTATACAATTTCATTGAGCGCGAACTTATTTTTTTTTTTGAAAATTTTCGAAATTATATTTTTTTACCTAAAAATTTTTTTTTTTTTTAAATGTTCCTTATGTTTTATATATAATATTGAAGCCCATGATTTTCCAAACAAAATGGTATATAGAACATTAGAATTAACATTGTTTTAAGCTTCTCAGATCCGTTTTAATAAAACCTTGCAAATGCGCCAAAAATAGGTGGACATTAAGGCCTAAACTATGGACACTTGGAGGGTTAAAGCTGCTAGGCCCGCCGAAACCCGATTTAGTTATTGTTATTACACAATGTCAAAAATCCTGTAAATGTAGGAAAGGATTTATGTTTGTACTGTTCAATTATACCTTTGATAATGCCTAAACGGGCGTTATCTTCTAATTAAAGTGCTTAAACGTCACCGACATCTACCCGCCATTTGTAAATTCGGGTCCTTTGCTCAGTTCCCGCTGTTTACGTGCACTTGGTAAAGCTGTTTTGAGGAGATTTCTAAGTAAGGATAAGTTCCGTCCAATGAACTTAATTTAAATTCATATTTTTATTTTCAAACACCCTAATTAAATAGATTAAATATAATCAAGCCAATTAAAATATCTATTCATGTTTTGAAAATTATTATGTCTAGATTGCATAAAAACGCTACTTTACAGTTGACACAAGGTTCTAATAACCATACGATTCGATTCGTCGAATATAGTCCAGCTACTAGCACCCTATGTACTTAACTTAAAATATCAAGAAAAGTGTTGTGTTGAAAAGAGGTTGATGAAATAAAGAAAGCTGACATAATTATCCCAGAAAGATTTATTTACAATTCTAAATCCAACACAATCATTAACTAAAAAAAATTAACATCCCCTTTCCTTAAAAATGAAAAATACTTAGTCCTAGAGCTAATGTGTACCCTATTATCTGAATTTCAAAGTTGTACACCAATCAATTACGTTACTTAACCCCACTTTCTCACTTTACCTAGACACATCAGTTTATTTAACCAATACTAAAAAAATTCAGATATCTTAAGTTTCCTTTCAATTAAATTAAATCTTTCCACATGGTAACTCACTGACCGTAAATACCCTTTATGTCAAACAAATTATTTCTGTTAAACTATTAAGTTACGTTTTATTACAGCCAAATATGCTTAATAGACATTTAAGTACACAGCAAGTTCGTTAAATCAAATCTCTTTCACATTGAAATTACACATTATTAATACATTCAAACAAGTAAATATGCATTTTAACATTAATACAGAAGATTAAACTTCAGACTTTCATCACTTTCCTTCTTCTGTAACATATTTTTAAAATGAACAATGTACTAAATACCCTAATATTTCATGATTGCCACCATGTGGTCCTCACCTGTTGATTTAATTTGTACAACTTCAAATAAAAATTTGCTAATAAAACTGAAATCAATCTTTTTCTTTCATATGATTTTAGATATCTCTTCCTGGAATAATGCTAGAAATAAATCCTTAGCTCTAAAACGAGGTTGACATGTAATTCATCTGCTCCTGGTACAAGACTGGACATTGACGAAATGAGACTGAATCAGTTTACGCACCTATACTTATAACCTCTGACCCCTTACATCTTCAAACACACGTCTATTCTTCGAATTGTAACAAAGAAACAGTTGACTACTCATCCCACTGCTCTCTCGAAGCCAAAAATTTTGACCATTAAAAATAAAAACAATATTTGATACCTTCACTTTTACAAACAAAATATTATTTATTCTCGTTATTCTGTCACGACTGTGACACAGTTATTATTTTTCAAAATGTTATCCGGGGGAGGACCTCCCGCCTACCTACTGGGGTTGGCTTAGGCCATCCCTGCTCCAAACCTGGCTACGCCACTGAGTGACACTGATCGCTAGTATTGACAAAATTTTGTTTCTATTATTTTAGTATTAATTTCTTTATTTGTGCTTTACTGTTTAGGTTATATAACTAGGGGACCAGTTATTTTTCACGATGAGATTGTTTTATTTTAGTTCTGCTGCCTGTAAAAGACCTTTGTCCTCTCTCAGGCTGGGAATTTAATCTCTACAGGACCATAGAAAACAAGTCCCTTTAAGAAGCTAAATGCTTATGGAGAATAGACTGGAATTTTGCCACCAAAATGAGCTTCGCGTAGCCGTTCTAGGATCAATCGGGCGTCGGACACGCTACTCAATCTATCTCTCTTTCTAAAATGATTCTTTGTCTCCAGTCAGCTGACTTGGCCACACGCTCGTGATAGTCTACCTAGTGGCAGCCGTGGGAACTAACTAAAATTCAAATATTCCCAGAATTAATTTTTAACAAAGGCATTAATTGCGCTTCTTAAAGGGTTTGTATTAATTGACAGGACTCAACATGGCTTTGTTGACAAGTCATTCAGTGTCCATAATCAGTTAATTTTTACTAATTTTGTAATTAATACTATCAATACTTATTCATTTTTTTTATTTCGCACAGTTGATTCAATAAAAAAAAATTTGTTTGCCTTAGTTTTATAACTGAATGTTGTGCCATGCGAGTCATTTTTGGAGTTTTCCTTTGCCGAATTTGGTTTATCTTTTTTTGTTTTTCACTCATTTTTTCAGTCCTCTTGTAGTTGGTGCCAAAAATGCAGCCATAATCGGTAACTATGAAAACCAGCCATGAACATTAATATGTTTCATTCCATGTTAATGAAATTCAGTATACAAAGAAATGAGGTGTGATGTTGAAAAGAACTGATTTAAGAATATTATACTGTAAATATTTAGAAATAATCCTTAAAAATAAAAAGTGTTTTATTGTGTATGTGTTAGATTATCCTTACCTGTGTGATCTCATTAATATTTTTTCAAACAAAAACTTTTTTGCATATCAACTGCAAAACCTTACTCTCAGTGAGAGAGATTAATTAAATCAAATAATATTTAAATTAGTGTAATTTTTGCACACACTGAGAATTAAGCTTCAGACAAGTCAACCGTACGTGCTTTCAGCTCTGGTATGTAGGGGCAGGAATATACTGTGACGAGCAAGGAGGAGCCTAAACGGTGAGCATTGTGAGGAAATTCCTATGGCACAGGGTCTTCCGCTTCCTTAACCTCAAGCGTTGTAGTAAATGAGAGCGAGGGGGGTCATTGCCCTAGACAACAGCACTAGCTCTAGACACCACTTAAGTGTACCATTGATTGTTTCCTCTGTATCTTTTCTCTGTGTTGCACATCTAATGAACCCAGCATTTCAAAATATATTAAGTGTTAACAAATTTACATGAAGCCAAGTGTTACGATTAGACAGGAATCCTAGTTGATATCTAGCATAAAATAAAATGCTGGGAAATTATTTGTTCACTACTCTAGGCCTTAACAAGCAAAAAGCAAAACAAATATTTACCTCAGTAGATGTTGAGTGAAAATTTTGAAACGTACGTTTTAATGTCACTGGCCTTTAACTTCGTAGATACTGTATGTGGAGTCCCGATAATCCGAAGGTCCGCTTAATCCAAAACCAAAAAACATTAAAAAAAATTTTTTTACTAAACTTTTAACACAGTTAACTGAACCTCTTCAAAGTATTCTGTAGCGAGATAAACTTGTTTTATAGAGTATTTTAGTAAATATTTCGCCATTTTTTTATTATCATTTTTCATTTTCGTCCTGGGTTCCAATCCCGCCAAATCACAAATGGATTTTATTTAAGTGATAATGCTGCAGCCCCCAGGTCTAGCCTAAAGTAATGTGAAAAACAATCCCGAGCTCGTGCCTAGCGTCCTAAAATAAAAATAAATTTCTATAAATAACTATTCTGTAGAGTTGTCATGCCTATTGTTATTACATTTGCTTATTAATTGTTCAACAGTTTGTAAGTTAGTAAAAAATAAACGGTATCAGCATTCTGACACATACTTTCTCCCATAAGTTTGTCAACAACCTTTATCATGTGTAAGCGGTGAGAGTAAATATACGGAAATGGGATTCGTACAATTTTGTTCAGAATTTAAAGGACTACATACTAAATTTTTTATCAAAATCGTTCGGGCTATTTTTCTGAAAATCTGATTTTTCCGTACCAAATTTCATCGAAATCGGACCACAGGTGTAGTCCCTATAGCTCTGTACACATCCAGACACACACACAGACATCACTTCGAAAACCACTTTTTTGGTTCCAGGGGGACCCAAAACGAATGTATCCATTCAAACTCGAAAATTTTTACGAAAACAATACTTTCTCCATATACTATGGTATAGGGGGAGGAGAAAGTAACAAGTTGTCATGCCTGTGCTAACCACTGAGCTATAATTCTAACTGGAGGTAGCACTGAATGTCAAAGATGCGTGTCGCCAGCCGCCATGTTTGCGTGAGGTGGGTGTCCATAAGAAGCCATATTATTGCTATAACTATTATTATACTTGGCTTAAAATACCTACTTTGTATGGTCACCATTTCAAAGAAAATTATTAAAGTATTAAAAGTATTCAAGTATGACAAAAATACTCACTGCTATACCAACCTAGTTATAAGAAGCCATGTTATTGCTATGGTAAGAAAACTTACTGCTATACCAACCTAACAAAATCAGCGACTCGCAGTGTTCTCAGACGTACGATAATTATCGTTTTGTACGATAATTTAGCCTCCCGTACGATGTACGATACGTCACCGTACGATAATGCTATTTGTACGATAATTTGGGCAATTGAATAGTACTCTTTTACAAAATTGGTTTGGGAGGTTATACCCAAAAATTTGGAAACATTTTTGCTGTTTTAAATCAAAACTCAGTATTTATTAGAGATGGGATATAAAAATCAATAAATAAAAAATCAATCTTATGAAAACTATAAGTTAACTGTTAGTATGAATAAAATTAAAACGAAACCATTTCCATGAAATGTGCTTCTAAACTGCTTGAATGCTTCTGCTTCGCTTCTTCTGCTTCTCCTACACAGTGTTGCCACTTTGAGGGTAATTACCCTTTTTTAGGGTAATTTACTGGTCTTAGGGTAAAGTTTAGGGTAATGGTAGATTTAGGGTAATTTTAGGGTAAAACTAAAAGTTGGGATAACATTGGAAATTTTACTAAAAACATGAAAAAAACTTCAAAATTTGGCAAAAACGTTCATTACATACTATGGCCAAACCATCATATTCGATTCAACCGGTTTAAATCGATTGCTATGATGAATTTTTCATCAAATTATCCAAATCGATCTTATCAATAGTAGGGAAAATTATCTGTTTTAGAATGTATTCGATTCTATAACACGTTATAGGCCTAATAAAATATGAAATATTATTAATTACTGGGTTTGATATTTAATTATGTGATTAAATTGGTTTAAACTGGATTATTTTACAAATTTGTGTCAAGAAATTACTACTACGTAAGTTATAGATTAAAGCTTTGGTGGTACCGTACTGTATTTTAAACATATGATTGTCCAAAAACAGTAGTAATGGGTCGATACAGTTAAAAAATACGATAGTTCTTGATTCGATATTTTTCGTTATACGATAGAGCTGATCAATATCAACATTTTGTTCTTCTTTCGGGTGGTTTTTTAGAATCGAGTATAATTTTACGTAAATTGATTGATATTGGAACTTCATTTAGTATAATTAACCACCTTATGTAAGATTTATATGATTTTAACAATGTTTTATAGCATTAAACGCAAATATTAACATTTAGGGTAATTTTTAGGGTAACTCAAAGTAGATTTAGGGTAATTTAGGGTAATTTTAGCCCGCATTTAGGGTAAAATCGCAACAACGTGGTGGCAACACTGCTCCTACACCACGAGAAAGTCTGTTACCATAAGAACAGACCTTCCGTACATAATCTCGCCCATTTGGCGAATTATTGGTGTAGTAGTGCACGCCATCGATCTCTATTTTAGAGATCGATGGTGCAGGTGCACGGGTGCACGCACGGCCGCCTTTAACTCCAGGCCTCGGCCTTCAAAGTGGCAACATCACAAGAGGTGTTGTAACAGCTGTTTTGTTTGGAAGTGAAGCAGCTAATGGTATTTGTGTATTAACGAAATATTGGTTACTGGACTATGACAATATTGACTCCGCTTAAAATGTACATAATAGATTTTTAATTCATATTGTTTCGGTTTTCAATTCTGTATGTCTTTTTTCAATATTTTAATAAATTTATGTGTATAAATTTAAATTGAAATCAATAAAGTGTGAATTAATGAGCTGATATCACCTGTCTGCCATGTTATCTTATGAGACGTCTGTCACTGAACAACATACCACTTGTGGAGATGCCAATTCTACCAGGCCGCGGCCTGTAGTTAAAGGTGGCCATGAGTGCATGGTGGAAGGAAAATACTGGTGTAGTGTTTGTGTTGAGGTTGAGAAATATTCACATAATATCAGTTACCTACTATGATTACAACGTGCAAAACTAAAAATAATATGGTTTTATGGCGATTTTGAGATTTATAATAAAAAAATATATAAGTCTATTTGGTATTTCAATACTCAAGCCAGTTACGATTGTTATTTAAAATTGTACGATAATTTTTCGTGAAATACGATAATTTAGGACCGCGTGTACGATATTTGACTACGGCCAATCTGGGAACACTGGCGACTCGCTTTTGACAGACTTCTGCCATGGCAGTGCTACCTCCAGTTATAATTTTAGCTCAGTGGTGCTAACTCACGGCCGCCGGCCGCCTTTAACTCCAGTTCCAGTCCAGTACATTTGTATTTCTAGCTCACTCCAAGTTTACGTTCTCTCTCATACATAATCACTTCCACTTCCACCTCTCTTCTCACATGTTACACTAATTCCAAAGTTTGTTTTGGTTTTTGGTTAGGTCATTAGGTGACTTGTTTGTTAGGTTATGTGTAAAAGTATGCAGTACTAGAACTATAACTAGGTTAGCTTTTGCTTGATTATTTCACTTTTAACTAAGATTCCAATTGTTTGTGATGCCGTAGTAGGTAGCCTATCTTTTGAACTTAAATCATGGAAGATTATCACAACGTGTTTATTGGTGGAGTTTCTGGTGTTTTTAAAGGTAAGTTACAGTATTTCAACTTTGCATTTAGCAGGTAGCCTATTTGTTTACTTTAGGAGCTTCTAACGAATTTTGAAAAAAATGTTTTTCTCATTAGGCCTATTTTAAACACTACTTTTGAAACTTTTGGGGCAAACGCCTATTTCACCCTAAAAATCAAGAAAAGTGCTAAAAATGTTTTATTTTACTCTTTAGGCTATGTGTTTTTACTATTATTTGGGACATTACGGTAAATCATTCAGTGAACTTTGTGGATCCAAATACCGGTGCCCACACGAACACCATAGAAAGACAGTGGAAGGAAGTCCGCCATTCCACCCCAGGGTTTGGCATAAAAAAGGACATTTTGAAGGATACTTAGCGGAGTACCTATTTATATCAAAATACAAATATAGCGATCAAATCCAGCCAGTTCTTTTTGGTTGCTGTTAGGTTGTACCCGCCAATGCAGTAAAGTTGTCTTTACCGTCTGTAGGGTAAGATAGGTATATAACTTAAGTTAAAGTTAAAGTTATTAGGCCTATATCGTTTGTGGACCGGTACACTGACTGACTGAGTGTACCGTACAGTCAGTACCGTACATGTACAGTCGTCTGTGTACCGGTCCGCTTACAATGATAGGCTATAATCACTTTTGTTTAGACCGGCCAAAAGTATAAATTCTCAATGTTACTTGTGTCAGTGTATGTATATAATGTGAACTTCAACGATAACCAATGCTATTAACAGTAATTTAACAAGACAGAAAATTTGACAATGGGGCTGAGGGCCCCGAAACTATAGTCATTATAAAAAGACAGACTTGGATTGAGGACGTAAACAAGGTATTTAGCCTAACCTATTATTATTATTATTACCCTGTGAAGTAGTTTTTTTTCCGTTCCTTTCCGGTTTCTGTGAGCTTGTTGTCATCGTCAGATTTCAGTAGACCTTCCTCCTCCATTGGGGTCAGATCGTCTGCGTTCCACGAATACTGAGTAGGCCTATCTAAGGTCCACCTCCCCAGTGACCCGATTAGAGAGGTAAGGGGTGCATACGACTGGGTTCCCCCTGGTTCCCAGAAGGCTCCGTTAAGACACTGAATATTCGGCCCCCAGTGCCACAAGACTCTCAGCACGGATCGAATTACACCTTAGTCTAGGGCCCCCCTCACTTGGTTCTGTAGGTGGACCAACACCCAGGGGCAGAAGGTAGCTCTCCGCAGCTAACAAGTGAGAGTTGGGGTTTAGGTGTGGCCAATCTGCCGAACCAACCCCGCATGCAAGGTTTGGCCGGAACGGCGCGAAAGTTTCTCCCACTCACTAAACCCCCATACCCCTCCCTAAAGTTAAAGTTAGGTTGGATTATATTAAGTTTTATGGTAGGTCCTAAGTGATAAGTTAGAAAGGTAAAAGCACATTAATTGTCTTGAAAAAAAATTTATAAAAAAAACACAATTTTTAGCACTTTTTGCGATTTTTAAACACAATTTTCAGGGTGAAATAGGCGTTGCCCCAAAAGTGCCAAATGTAAAACGTGTTCAAAATAGGCCAAATAATGAGAAAAAAAAAACAGTTTTTTAAAAATTCGTTAGAAGCCCTTTTAAAGTATACAAATACCGTAACTTAGGTTAGGATTATTCTAAGTTGATTTTATTTGAGTTAGTTATGATTGCTCTACAGTTAATAGTTGTAAATATGCCAAATATGTTCACAAACACTTGTAAGTTAGTTATAGATGTTATTGGCAATTAGTTGTTTTGCCTTTGATCATTGAGACTCGGCTAGTTTCAGTGGCCGTCGCTGGCGCGCTCGGTGCTCGCCTTTGCCCTAGCATGTCAACAGCTAACTGGTGTAAAAATTGGATGATGCATACAACTTTCCATAGCAGAATATTATTTTATTCGTCGTGCTATTGCCCCACAAAGTTGACTATGTGGAACTTAATACTACTCCTGCCATCACTTATTTAGTTTAATAAATACTACATTGATGTCTGTTTTATGACATTGCGTGTTTTAAGGACGAAATATATGTTTAAATTTATTTTCCAGGGTCCAGGGGGGGGGGGCTTTAGCCCTGTAGCCTCTTCCCCTTGGAACCGCCGGTTTATAGTTGGGCAGTCTATACATTTTATGATATTTATTTGGATAGGCTATAGCATACAGAAACATTAGGTTACCCAAAACATTAAAAGTTAAAAATAAACCCCCGTTCCCTTGGTTAGATCATGCTGGTTCGCGAACTCATTCGAATTAATGTAGGTTTACAGGTTTATACCAAATTTCATCAAAATCGGATAATTTTTGCTCGAGTTAAACGGACACATAACTTACGTTATACATAAGTTATATGAATTTAAAGGGATGGCGGTTTTGGACTCTGGGGACCTCAAAACAAAATAAGTAAATCGGTCCCGGGTCCAGTTCTTACCATGAGACCTACGGTATAATAGCTAATTCCCTATTCGCTAAAAAAAAAAAGTTCTGAGTGACCATAGGCATAGGCCTACTGTAAGTTTTCAAAGTTATGAAATGGATTGACCCTCTTAAAAACAAGGGTTGTTCATAGAATAAGTTAAAGTCTCCATCAAGATTCCGTCTCAGTCATACTAGTTTTTTAGCTTAAATCTAAGACCTGCCTTGTAAGGTAGGCTACCGTAACTAAGTTATACTTCATACCGTAGTTCATACCCTATAGTTCCTAGAAGTTCTATACATCATCTATTAATTTACCCAGTAGGTCCATTCTAGCCGGCTCCCATACGTATGGGACAACATACAATTCATCTTTCAATAGTATTTGAAATTAATCTTTGAGTGAAAATTCACACTCTCCTAAGTGTCAATCTAATTATTTGTCTGTTTTAATAACATAAACTTAACGGGACTTTGCCAGCAGGTCACGGAAAAATCACTGATTTAGGGATTCTTTTTATAGGCTAGAAAAAAAAATGTTATCAAATATTTGTCCTGTGCTTCCTTTACAAAGCACAGGTCCAGCAGGTAGAGTAGAAATAGACTGTAACTAAATGTGTTGTGATTGCAGGCCTCAAAGCATCTCATAACAAAGGTGTTCATAACGTAAAAAATCTTCAAAAGCTTAAAGAGATCACACAAAGAAATGAAGTAACCTTTTTAAACTGGGCTGATAAACTTGAAAATGAAATACTCATAGGGTATAGCAACCAGTTGGTCAAAATATTTGATTTAACATCAAATACCTTCATACTGAATGAACACAAAACCATTGGAGAGGGACCAATTCGAGGGATCTTCAAGGTAAACAGGTAAGCTGATTTTTTTCAAACTTTCATTAACCCATTTGCATCGGATGACTTACCAGTAGGTCAAGTCCGTGATGTACAGTATCACGGCTGACGTACTGGTTTAGATTTTTACATACATATTTTATATTATTTTCAGCTATAAAATACTATTAAAACAACATAAAAAATAGTCTAATATTTTTTTTCAGGCAGGTATATGCACCTATTTTTTTAAAAATATATAAAATAGTGTAAACATATCCTAAATACATAATTATATATACCGGTATATACATATAAACAGTGCTCGATTTGTAAAAAATTAGGTGCCGGAACTGTAACCTATTTAATGTGATTTTTACCTATTTATGCCAATATTTTTATCTTTCCAAAAGAGAGGTGCCGGTACACCGTTCCGCCGTGTTCCCCCTCAAATCGAGCACTGCATATAAATTTTATTATTATTTCCAGCTATAAAATACTATAAAACATTATAAAAAATAGTGAAATTTATTTTTCTTTATTTTTTATGTTTCAGTGATATTGTAAATAAGTAACAAATGGGTTGACAATTAAAAAACACTTGAATGCTTTGTATTGACATGGGAATAACACTTAATTTCCTAGATCTTTAATTGATGTATTTTGTAGATTTTTAATATAGGCTGTAGAACCTACTTAACTCAAACCTATTAATTCCTAGCCTAGTTGTTGAAATCAATTTGTCCAACCAATCTTAGCAATATTTACGGTTGGTCAGTAATCATCAGAATTTGATTTTAATTACAAATTCCTGCATAATATTATACATTTTACAATTTTTCTTTAATCGTATGGCTAGGTATATGAATAGCTTTGTCTCATTTTGTACTCGTTGTATACATCCAGTGAAATAAATAGCCTACAGCAGTTATAAATAGAACATGTTTGAAATTTAGATTTTTTTCTAGTTCGCTGGTAACTGCAGTCGAGTCAGGAATAGTGAAGGTTTGGGGTGAAACAGACTCACTTGTGGAAACTGGAGGGCCCATCAGTCGTATGAGACATAGTCCCAATGAAGACAATGTTTTTGCCACAGGCGGTAAAGAGAATGACCTCAAGCTCTGGGATGTTGAAACTGGCAAAAACACTTTTACAGCAAAAAACGTAAGTATACCTATAGGCATAATTTTATGGTTTAGGCGTAAGTAAGAGCAATTGGCTGTAACTCTGCTTGAATAAATAAATACATTTTCATTACGAAACATGGACCTCACATAACGTGGAAACTTCACTAACAACCCTCTCATAAAAAACCCTATTAGGTATGTGTATTACAACTACGGTATCATTAAAATCTATTTCAAAAGTTATTAACTGAACCTACTTATTTTATCATATAATAACTAGAGGACCCATGCTGCTCCGCAGCGTTAAAAAAAATATCTTATCCGAGAAATAATCAAATTTATGTTTTTTGATTGAGTAATACAATATCTTAAACTTAACTGATTCAAACAATAAATAGCTCAAATTTACTGATTATTTTGAGTCTAAAACATATTAAAAAAACATAAACAATACTGGAGCAATTGATTTTCAATCATAGAAAAACCTTATTAAAAATAATTTATATGTTAATTGTTCACCTTGCGTTTCCTTGAAACTTGTCCGATTTGAATAAATAATAGCTTAAATGAAAGCTGATATTTAACTGAAGGTTCTTAGACCAAAATAAATAGGATTATATAATTATAACTGGTGAAATATATCTTAAATTGAAGTAAGAATTTGAAAATAAATCTAATTTATGTTTTTGGTCGAGTAATATAGTAGACAAATACCGTATATGACGATGCTTAATTTAACTCACATAAGAAATACATGAGGAACAAATTTTGTTTACGGATAAGCCGAATGGGACTGTAGATAAATATATTCCAATGCTTGTTGTGGAATCTGAGCATGCATACCTTCAATTTAAGACCTCAATCATGAAAATCGGCCGGGTAGAAAAGCCAAACGAACTCGGAAAAGAAAAACCAAATTTTTGATAGGTAGGCCTATATAAGATATACAAAGTTCATGATACTTGTTATTTTGAAGGTGCGTCATGACTGGTTGGAACTCCGAGTGCCAGTGTGGGTCATGGATTTAGCGTTTGTGCCAGAATCTAAGCAAGTTGCTGTAGCCACTAGATACGGTCATGTAAGTCATTAATATTTTCTATCTGAGAAGTACAGTATTTGTTTGTTTCTTCTTTTTTTTCTAGTAAGCCTTTTTTGCAAAAGGAAATTTTCCATTAAAGCCTACCTGGATGGAAAAGAGTTCAATATGGATTAAGAAACATAAAACTTATACACAAAAAATCTGAATACTTTTTGCACAACAAATATTTTTATATACCCCATAATGTAAAGTTTTGTACTTTTCTGCTATTTTGTACTCTTTCCCATTCAGGTAAGCCTGCTATCCACAACAAAAACCCTAAAAATGAAATTGAACTAATTTTTGCTGTAGGACTATAGGTAAGTACTGCCAAACAGTCATAATGATCTAGCCCAGATGGATTTGTGTCTTTTTATTTCAAAATTTACAACCAGGTATTTTTATTTATAATTTGGTTGAATCCCTTCAACTTTATTTATTGTGTGTTGGTTTCGATCTTCAGCTATGCTATATTTATATTAAATTTTAAGATTATGTTTAACACAATGAGTGACATTGTTTTGATTGTCAGGTGAGACTGTATGACCCCTCCACTCCTACTCGCCGACCTGTTTGTCAAGTTGAGGAGAAAGACGTCAGTTTCACCTGTATAGCTCCTGCACCCCGGCCCAAGTAAGAATAGACAATATCACAATCATTTTTATCATTTATTAGATGTAGACACCACCTCACCTAGGTAATCTTGATAGGTATAATGAATCCCAAGGGACCAAAGGAAAAATTGGTTGCATGGAGGATTTTATTAGATTTGTTACATTGAGGACTTTTGAGGTTGGTTGTGAGTTGAAAATATGGCTATATCGAGGTTCACAGAACAACTGGGTTTTGTTCGACCTGTTTAAATCGTATAAGTCAAATCAAATTCTCCTCAGTAAATTCTCCTCTCTCGCAACCAAGGATGAGGTAAAATGTATGACTGATAGTCTACAAGAAATTAAAACTAATCTAAACAGTCTGAGCAACAAAATCAACCTCTTGGAGCCAAGACTTGACACTCTAGAGAGCGAAGTACTTGTCTTGAAAAACAAGGCTGCTGATGCGGTCCACGACACACCGGTAGAAGATATAATTGAGGAAATTAATGACAGAAAACGTCGAGCACGCAATGTGATCATCCTTGGCCTAAAGGAAAGTGATTCTACCGTGTCTACAACCAAGAAAGAGTATGACCGAAGCTTTGTGGAGCGTATTCTTGCATGTTGTGATCTTGATTCGTCACTAAGTGGAGCCCGGTTTTTTAGACTCGGAAAAGCATCCAAGGATAGACCCCGACCAGTCAAGCTGTGCCTTTCGTCTGAATCTGAGGCAATATCACTTTTCAAAGTTTTTGGCTCTAAGAAAAGTGCTGATGAGGGATTGAAAGATATATCTTTAGCTAAAGATCGAACTGAAAATGAAAGAAAACATCTATCAGACTTGCGTAAAATCCTCAAAACTCGCACTGAGTCTGGTGAACCAGATTTAACCATAAAATATGTTAATGGTATCCCTAAGATCGTTCCAAAAAACGAATCTCTTCCAGCGGCAGAACAAAATTAAATGTGTATTTTCAAAATGTAAATGGCTTACGTACTAAATTGGTAGATTTAAAGAATGCTTTGGCTTGTAATATTTATGATGTCTTATTATTGTGTGAAACAAACCTATCTTCAGACATTTCTAGCTCTGAGTTACAGTCAGCCAACAACTTCACAATTTATCGCAGAGATAGAAATATCCATTCAAGCAATAAAACGTCTGGAGGTGGAGTGTTGGTGGCTGTTAATAACCGCCTCCAATCACATGAAATCATACATGATTCAACTATTGAAAATATATTTGTTTCTTTACCATACCATAAACTCATACTAAATTGTGTTTATATCCCGCCAAGTCAGCCTATCTCCACTTATATTACCTATTGTGATTCCATAGACGTGATAGCTTCTTCTTCACCTTCATCCTCCTTGATTCTGGCTGGCGACTTCAACATTCCCTCTTACGATGACATTCCCTGTGTGTGTACCACTGACGATCGAGCTAAGAGGGATCTTCTCGGAAATATGGAAGAGCTCCATTCCTTGGATCAATTAAATCACGTAAGAAACTTCAGACAAGTGACTTTGGACTTGATTTTTAGCAACATTAAGTCAGTCTGCGTCTATCCTGCAGAAGATCCCCTTGTTCCAGCCGACCAACATCACCCTCCACTATCTTTCTCACTGTCTACTAGACGAGGATCTCCACCTACTGATTATGTTACTTGCCCAAATCTACGTAAATGTAACCTACTAGCTGCCTCAGAAATGCTATCAACAGTGGATTTATACTCTTTACTCAATCAATCCAGTATCCATGGGAGCTTCAAGAATATGGTTTCCTTACTAGGAGATATCTGCATCGCATGTAGTCCTTTAAAACGGATTGGATCCTCGCCCTTTCCCAAATGGTTTTCTAAGGAGCTTATTAATATGGTGATACAGAAGAAAATAGCACACAAGCGTTATAAACTAACATTCAATCCAGTGGACTACTCACACTTCAGCGATTTGCGTGAGGCTTGTAGGATTCTCAGTCGTGCATGTTACAAAAGTTATCTGAACCATGTGGAGACATCAATTCCACATAACCCCAACAGCTTTTGGAGCTTTGTTCGTTCCTCTGGTGGAGCGCCTGGGATTCCATCCAGAGTCTCTCTGTGTGACCGCTCTTCGGAGGATCTGCAGGAGAGGGCAGACATGTTCTCAGAGTATTTTTCGACGGTGTTCTCACAGCCTGTAGTCTCATCTCCATCCTTTGACTTCAGTACTTCATCCTCCTTGGCACGGATTTCTTTCTCTATACCCGAGGTGTTGAACGCTCTCCAACAACAAGACACTAAGAAGGGTGCTGGTCCAGATAACATAACACCAGCTTTTCTCAAGTTTTTCAGTGAGACTCTGGCAGGGCCCCTGACTATTCTCTTTAATCTATCCCTCCAGCAAGGAATATTTCCTGATATCCTCAAAATTGGACACATCGTTCCCATTTTGAAAAGTGGTGATCCGTCAAAGGTTGAAAATTACCGCCCTATTACAATTCTCTCATCCGTGGGGAAGATTTTTGAATCACTTGTCCTTTCTCGACTCAAGTTTTTCTTTAAGCCACTGGTTTGCCCTAGTCAACATGGTTTTACCTCTTCTAGATCCACGGTGACTAACTTGCTGCTTTTTGAGGAAAGTATATTATCGGCTATGAGAGCAGGGAAGCAGCTGGATGTGGCCTTCGTTGACTTTGCTAAGGCTTTTGATAAGGTAGACCACTCCATTCTGATATGTAAACTGAAAGCCTACGGGATTCATGGCTCACTGCTCTCCTGGCTTACTGATTATCTAATGGATCGACGCCTAAGAGTGAAATTGCCTGGTTTGCTCTCCAAAGAGTTTCACCAAGTGTCAGGCGTTCCCCAAGGTTCCTTACTGGGTCCATATTTATTCATTGTCTTCATAAATGACATAGTGTCGAGTTTGCAAGTGGAAGCTCTGCTCTTCGCTGATGATGTCAAAATTTTTACGATGGTCTCCAACCAAGATGATTTTTTACGACTGCAGTCTAGTATTAATTGTATCATGGATTGGTGTAGAACAAACAATATGAAACTAAACTTTTCTAAGTGCTCTGTAATGACCTTCGGCCGTCTACGCTGTCCTCTGCTATTCCAGTACACATTGGAAGGACAACCATTAGAAAGGGTGTTTTCCATCAAGGATTTGGGTGTTACCTTTAGTGCTGATCTATCCTTTCATGAACATGTTTATGATCTCTGCAAACGATCTCACAGGCTATTGGGATACATCTTTAGATCTACTCGTGGAATGACAAGCCCTGTTGTTTTAAAAACACTTTATTCGTCCTTTGTACGCCAACTCCTAGAGTATGCCAGCCCAGTTTGGTCCCCTTACCAAGTTGGTTTGACTGACGAGCTTGATGCTGTGCAGAGGAAATTCCTAAGGTTGGTGGGAGTACGACAGGGGCTTCGTTGGACGGAGGTTCCACTTGCTGATCTCCAGGCTGACCTCCATCTCCATGATCTTCAAGTCAGACGTGAAGTGGCAGATGTAGTATTTCTCGCCAAGCTGATCAATGGCCTGTTGGACTGCCCAATGCTTCTCACTCAGGTGGACTTCCGCACTCCATCAGTGACCCGATCTCTGGATCTGTTCGGCAGGAGGCATCATGCACGTGGTTACGACTTCCACAGCCCACTTGCAAGAATGATGAGGCTTGGGAATCGATTCTGCCACACAGTCGACTTTTTCCACGAGAATACTTCCTCTGTTCGTAGAAGAGTTCTCGAAGCCCGTCACACCATTGAACACCATTGAAAAGTCTTATTGTTGCTGTTGTTGTCAATGTCATTTGTTGTTATTTGTTATATTTATTTATATTGTTTGTTATATTTATTTATATTGTTTGTTATATTTATTTATATTGTTTGTTATATTTATTTATATTGTTTGTTATATTTATTTATATTGTTTGTTATATTTATTTATATTTTTTGTTATATTTATTTATACTATCTAGTAAGGAACTTCCATGTGTGCCTGATAGCTTTCTAGAAATTCTTCTTTGTGGTATGTCAATAGTTTATTAATTAGCCACAGTGTTGTTGTTGTTGCATCGTTTGTTATACTACTATTTATTTGCTTGTATGTTATGTATTTGTTAGCACTCAGTATCCATTATTTTTTTTAGTATGTAAATAGTACCTAGCCATCTTTCTTGTATTGAAATGTATAATGGTTTTGCCGTTGGAATGAAATAAAATAAATAAATAAATCAAATCAGTTTTATTTCCACAATATATACAAAATTTACAATTTTTCAAAAAAATAAAAAAATAAGTTACTGCATGTCACAGTCAATTGACAATATTTATTTGATTTTTAAATATAGAACATTCAGTGAATCCTGCCAATAATTCACAGATATGAATATCACAGTCTATAAACTAAAATCCTATGTAAACCTATATATAAAATGGATTTTCTAACAAGGTAACCTTGATATTTTGAGTGTTTTGTTGGTGGCCACAATATTTACGTGCGGAATTGCAAATTACGTGAACTGCAGTGATTACAATACAGGATTTTTTTGCCAGCGTTAATTTCTGGGAAACATATACGATAGTTATGTCAAAAATGCAGAATTTTTCATTTTGATGTAATAAAGTATTATGCTATTATCCATCTATATTATTAAAAGAATTTGTTGGATTTTGTGTGCAACAAATCGACCCCTAAATATTTATTTTTATAGGCATATTGGGTATCAATTTAAAGCTCTTATCTTCTAGATGTGCCTTTGCGGGTTTGGATGATATATAGTGAAAGCCCTTCGTCCTACAGGCTTTAAAAATGTCAGAGTTTGTGCTGAATTCTGTTGTCAATCATCTGAACTGTTTAATTTTACATTTCTTTACATTAAAACAGATGGCCATAGTAAAATTTTGTTTACATTAACACAAAAATGGGGTTATTTGTAGTTGGTGATGTTTCAGTGAATTCAAGTAAAATATTGTAATGCTATTTGTATAAAATGTAAAGAAGAAAATGACTTACGTTGGATTTTGTGTTGTGATAGGATTATGTTGCGACACACTTTTCTCGCACTAGAAAAAAATATTAAAAGTGCAGTCACACAGTTTTGCCGAGGATAGCTCAGCCTACAATGGCTGGGTAAAGTTCCAGGGTCTGCTACTAGGAAAACCACTAGGCCAAAAGCCGGGTCTAACTGGTATAGGACTGGCTCATATACGGGCACTGTAAACAAGTAAAAAACAAGTCACCAAAACAAACGTGCAATAATCAACACCAGGCCTACACCGATTCTCCACTCTCCTAGGGGGTCGTTGCTGACTACGCAACTCGGGCTTCGTCCTAACTATCCAATAGTCAAGCCCAGAGTGCCTAAAACGATGTGAGTTACACGACGACTTGTCAGTAAAAACCACAACGCGAGTTTATCACCAGGCGGGATACACTCGGCCACTATAATCCAATACATAACTCTAATGCCCAAGCTATTAATCAAACAGTTCACTCAGTAATCTATATAAATAAAATTAGAGTTTTGTCTGTACATTGCTTAGAATAATGAACTTTTTGGTTATTTTTACATTTCATAGGTCAGAGAAACCGAATCAAACCTTATCTCAATTTCTGTCTGTCTGTCTGTCTGTCTGTCTGTCTGTCTATCTGTCATTCTCTTGGTAACGCTAAAATACGCACTTTATTACAACTACTCCTCAATAACTATAGCACTGTCCCGCCTGAAACTTATTTTCCAAATACTATACATATATGAGATGGTTTTAGACGTATTTCATCGAATATGAGACAGTTAGATATTTAACAGTAAACCCTTGAAAATCAAGTTTTTGTCGATTTTTGACGTGGAATTTCTGGAAGCCCATGTTAACCTTATGAGAAATGAAATTATTGAATCTTAACAGCTGTTTCAATTAAACAAGTTGGTTCTGTTCTGTGATGTTCAATAGCATTAAAGTTACAAGGATTACCAACAGGGTGCAGCACTAGCACTATTATTTCTTTTACATTTATGACAACAGCTAATTTGCAACCTGGAGGCGAGTGAGCGTAGCGAACGAGCTAACCTGAAGGCAAGTGAGCGTAGCGAACGAGCTAACCTGAAGGAAAGTGAGCGCAGCGAACGAGCTCCAACATACAGGTGAGTGAGCGTAGCGAACGAACTTCAACCAGGACGTGATTGAGCCATGCAAACGAGATCAGATAGTAAAAATAAAAGTAAGCCTACCGTTATAGGATCGACCGGCAGACACAGAGGTAATTTAACCTTTTATTGATTGTCATACCGATCCGGAACAACAAAAAACAACATAAAATGAAGCTATGTATAATAGTTTGGCCAGCATATCTTAAAATATGCAAACCAACTGCTGTTCTTTATATAAGAAGGTTTCAACTGAATATTATAAGATCCCCGTGCGTAGAACGGGTACACAGCTAGTAATACCATATAATAATACAAGTATACTATAGGCAGAGTGACTAAACCTCTAGTAGCTGGTCTCAATAAATACCAAGCAAAACTAAATGACAATTGCACTACTATTAAAATATTTAGTAGAAGTGAAATATAAAATACTTTCCAAACACTAGATAAATATATCTGATAGCCGATACTACGCTATCCAAGCTACTAAGATAACGTGTTGGATTAACAAACAAGCTGTTCGGGTTGAATTAAAATCGTTAAATGATTAACCAATAAAAACCCTACTGCTACTACTACTGCTGCTACTATCAATGCTATTTTAGTTAGCTGGGCTTCTGTTAATAGGCTAATAAAATTAGCTACTTGCCTACTGGCCGCGTTCTTCCAACTACGCACGCCAACTTGTGTAGCCTATAACTCTAACTCTTGCAATAAAATCAGAGATTAATATTATCAAAGTATTAAATATCAACTCTTAAACCAAAATGTAAGGAACGTCGTCCACTCACCACTAGCGGGTCTCTACCCAACTCAAACTCCACTGTTCACCAGTATCACCACACTGTATATGGTTACCACCAAACACCAATTTCCACTGTCCACTCACACTCCACGACGTCTCCACCAGACACAAGCTTACTGCTCCAAATCCACGACTCGAATGTCCATCCTAGGCTATCCTGTAGTTCCAGGATACCCAAGCTTATCCGAACTGATAAGCCCGGTCAAAGGGCGCTTGCTAGCTTCGCCGCCGCCGCCTCAACATCTCAACCTCAACAATCGCGCGGCCAAATAACAAAATTTACCCCCCTAGGAAAAATAACTCGTTACATTGTGCTTTGCCAGTCTTCCTACAACTTACTCCGTGTCATGATAACGCTATTGTGTTGTTTCGTGTATGTAAATGTCTTAACTGTGTGTTTCTTAAAAACGTTTCTGATTACTGTGTGTGTGTGTGCCTGTCTGTATGCATGGATGTGTACAGAGGTGCACACCAAACCTCTAGTTCGATTTTGATGAAATTTGTGTTGTAGGTTAATCTATTATATCTCTAGGCGGTTTTTTTTCATTTTTTTGAAATTTTGATTTTTTATTGTGATTTCCCTATAAAAACCATAAAATAACGGAAAAATTGAATTTTGATAAAAGTTTAGTATGTTATAGTCCTTTAAATTGATGAAAAAAATTATATAACTCCCATTGCTTTATAAATTATGGTTCTAAAAGTTATTGTAACTAATGTTATTTTCCCATAAAAACTATACAAAAAACTGAAAATCGGATTTTTGAAAAAAGTGTGTCTTGATTGAAATTAGCATGTTATGGTTCTTATAATTCTAAACAAAATAGTGCAATGACATAACAATTGTGGTTCAAAAGTTATTGCAACTTTTGTTATGTTCCCTATAAAATATCATAGTTACTCCCACTGCTTATCCATGATACAGTTGGTTGAAAATCTCAGATTGCTAATACTGTTTATTACTGATACTGTATACTAATTGTGTATACTTTAGCCCCTTGAGTTATCAGGTAAGCTTGCTCAACAATGCTTCTCTAAAAGTATGATAACTAACATTATCTAGATTTATCTACATTGCAGCCATGTAGTAGTCGGGTGTGCGGCCGGCAACATGTACCTGGTGGATCTGAGGGGTAAGGGGCTTCTGCTCAACAAGTTCAGAGGCTTCATGGGAGGAGTGCGTGCCGTCGCTTGTCCCACTGTTGAACCTTACGTACTCAGCGTTAGTCTGGACAGGCACTTCCGAATACATCATCTCAACACAAAGAAACTGCTTTTTAAGGTACAGTTTTACAGCTAATTTCATTACTGTGTATTCGGGTGGAAAAATTGTTGTTTTACCCTTTTATCTAGCTTTGCAACAGTGTTGACAACAGGATATAAAAATATTAGCTTTTTGCTGCTGAGTAAAAATATGTACACCATGGCGTAATTTACATAATTATTGTCTTGTCTAACAGAGGATCAAAGTGTTGTCAAGTTCGGTTTAAGAAATATTTGTATATGACTGTTTCAGTTCAACAATTTTTATCCATTGATGGACACAATCTTAAATTTAGTTCACTTACCATATATTAAACTGTGGTAAAGTGGTGTAACTATGAAAATAGTCGAATAAAAATTGTAACACATGTTTAGACCTCATTAAATTAAAGAAATCAGACAACATAACCCCAACTCTCATTGAAAAATGTTCATGCAGTCTTCTATAGTTTGCTTCAAAAGGCCAAAATGCTTGAAATAGATAGTTTAATCAATGGAGTCATTAATAGCCTACCCTAAACCTTTCAGGAATACATGCAGTCAAGGTTGTCAGCTCTTCTGATCAAGTCTAGTTTCACAATGGAAGACATCAAAGAAGAAGCTCCAGAGATAAAAGAAGAAGATGCGGAAGCTTTTGAGGCAGACGAAGAATATGAACAGATGTTCAATGAGATGGAAGTTATAACGGACAAAGTGGAACCAGTTATAAAGAAAACAAAGAAAGGAAAAAAGAAAGTTAAAGAAAATAATGCAATTGATAGTATAATAGAAGATGAAATAAAAGAAAAATTGACCTCTCTTCATAAAGACGAAATTTTAGAACAAGAAAATCCAACTAGTAAAAGATCGAAATCAGGAAAAGTAAAATCAAAAAAATTGAAAAGGTTAAAAGAAGAAGATGATGTTATTGTTTTAGAATAGTATATAGTTATAATAAATATTTTACCGATGGATTACAACTAATTTTTTACTAAAAGTTTAATCTTCAAGTTTCTAACAACTTTGGCCCACCATTTGCTTACCAAATTACTTTATCGTCTGGCCACATGACTATCTTTTTAAATTGAATTGATTTATATGGGAACCCACTTTGTCAACAAGTAATTTCCTCTTAAACTGTGCTGGTCATGTAAAATTAAATAAATAACTATAGTTCGGCCGCTTAGAAAACGACCTGCGCGCTAATGCTAAACCAATGCTGGAGGAGGTCGTTTTCTAAGCGGCCGACCTATAGAATCTACTTGCTTGTAAAGTAGTACCATAGATAAATCATACTCCCTTGTGTTGCTTAGTCTATGGTAGTACGCTGTAGGGTGAAGTATGAGGTGATTATTTTATTTCCTCAACTTTGTTGAGTCCAAATGAACAACTGGAGGTTTTTATTCCTCTGATTTTTAATTGACACAATGCAGTATGCAAGTGAAGCACGGCCAACTTTAACTCCAGGCCACGGCCTTCGAAGTGGCAATGTCGCAAGTAGTGTTGTTACAGCTGTTTTGTTTGGAGGCAGTTGATGGAATTTGTGTGTTTTTTAAGAAGACGAAAGCTTGATGACTGGGCCATGAAAATATTGCCTCCATTCTAAATGTACAAAAATAGATTTTCAATTTATATTGTTTTGGTTTTCAATTCTATATGTTTATTTCTAATCTTTTAATATATTTAAGTTCATAAATTTAAATGAATAATACAAAAATGAATGAGCTGGTGTCACCTGTCTGTCATGTTCGATCGTAAAGTCAGTAGCTTTTTGATGGTTCAAAACCGGACACAAGCTGTTCCTGATCATTGGGCTTTAAATAAATGATCCTGACTAATGAAATCGAATCGCTGATCTTAGTCAGTAACAAAGCTACACAGGTCACACACACCATTCTACACTCATCCTTCACTCATATTTGGGTTAAAATATGCACCTAGGTGGCGTCCCCATCTCAATGATTGATTGATTGATTGATTGATGTTATTAATTATGAGACGTCTGGCGTTCAACAAGACTACCTGCGACGTTGCCAAATCTACCAGGCCGCGGCCTGGAGTTAAAGGTGGCCGTGAGTGAAGAGTGCTCCTTATGTATATGTAAATTAAGCAAGAAATAAGAAATATGAAGGATGAAAAATAAGTATTTTGTTGCATCAATGTACAATAGTACCTATTGTTGTAAATAAGATGTAATACCAACGGCTGCACTTTACTTAAGGTCCTACACTCATTCGAAGGAAAATATCGATTGGTTAGTTACGTTAGGTTAACCTTACCTAACTAACCAAACGATATATCGAATTAATCTATATATCGATCGATATTTTCATTGGAATGAGTGTAGGGCCTAAAGTAAAGTGCAGCCATACCAACAATTATTATTGTTTGTAAACAACAAATAATGTAAATATTTCAGTGACAGATTTAAAAAATCATTCTTAAAACAGCTGATTTTTATGTAGCCAATGGTAGGCCTCGTTGATGAAGGGGCCCTCAATTGTTGTTTCCAAAATTTAATCCTTCACAACATTACCTGACATGATAACTCTATCTATACTATAGTACCAAATAATTGTACTGACTCAAATAACTGTAGCCCTATCAGGACAACATCCTAGGTTAGGGATCCATAACACTGTAAACCTCCCTTGTTCAATAATATTACATTACTACAAACACAATGTTTTTTAACAGTTTCTTACACCTGTGGCAAAAGTAAGTTTTAATTTTAGTGAATTTCCCATATAGGGAATAAGAAAAAGCCATTACTGTAGGTCTAATCGTAAGACCTGGACCCTGGACCGATTTACTTTTTTTGTGTCGAGGCTCCGGAGGCCAAAACACCATTTGTTCAAGTTAATTTTTGTATGTGTCCGTTAGCATGATAACTCAAGCAAAAATGATCTGATTTTTGTGAAATTTGGTATAAAATTTAAACCTACGTTTATTCTAACGAGTTTGCAAACCAGCATGATCGGACTATGGGAACCGGGGTTTATGGGGGAATTTTTTTTTTTCAAATAATGGGATTTTCTCATTTTTGATCCTCAATTCATAGTTTAAAATTTTTTCCAAACCATTGGTTAAGGAAAAAGTTTAGAACTCCCATGTTATTTTAATAAAGAATAAGTACACTTTTTGTTTGCTTGTTTATGAACGTATTTTTATTAAATTTGGAACATTTATTTGTTTTATACTAAGCTATTAAAATTTAACAAAAAAAATCACTATTGCCTTCCCTGTAGCAGCAAACCTATTTACACGTTGAATGATTTTTTAAATTGGGAATAAATATGACATTTTTAAGTAGATAGACATTTTAGAGAAAATCCAATCAGACAAATGGAAATTTGCTTAGTCTGCAAGTTAGCTGTGGCAGAGGTAATTTTTTAGTTTTTCAAATCAAATCATCTTTATTTCCAGCAGAAACTCGGTATAACAGTGTTTTACAGTAATTTGTTTTAGGAACAGTTCACATACAGCACCTCAATACCAATGATAAATCCTGCTTAAACTGGACTCTCTCAAGTCAACTAAAGCTGTTTCATAAAAAATAAATCTAAGACATTTAAACAAAATAAGTTTTGAAGAAGAAGGAAGTGTGAGCTTGCTGCTGCAAAAGCAATTGCTGATAAAAACAATATTCTAATAATAGCTGATTGTAAACCCCTTCTATTTAGTCATGACTTGATTGTTTATAGAGCTCGGTATGTGTTTTGCTGATTTTGAAAAATTCTGTCAGAACTATCTCAAGGCAACAAACAAGACTGAAGTTGAAGGCCAGCCCTTCGGTCCTACTCTTCCTCATCTTTGAAAATGATCTTCCATCATTTAGTCCAGTCAATGAATGATCCAAAATGGGGGGGTAGAGTGTGTGAGCAGGTAACTAAATGATTCCTTCAGAGACTTGTTCAGGGGCTTAGGGTGTTAACATACCAAAAGTCCTGACTCCTAGGTGGTGAGCCAGGGGCGGAAGGGGGAAAGGGGTGGTAAAGGTACGCATTTTCGGTTTTTTTTTTTATTATAACTCGAAAACTATCAACTTTTTGTATACTATACTAAATTATAAAATTGAAGAAGATAAAATTTTCTACAAGAAAAGTATATACCTAATGTGTTTATTTTGGTTAAACAGATTTACGAGTTATTACCTATTTAATTAATATCTTATTAAAATACTCCTTCCATATAAGAAATACATGTAAATTATTATGCGAAATGGGACGAATCCTATCCGCCCAAAGGAAATATAACCAATATTCTGGAAATCTTGACAAAATTTCCAGTAATTTGACAATTTAATCATAAAATTTTGTCAAAAATTAAGGCAAGGGCGAGGTAACAAAAATGTCGTGTGTAGTGTATACAATAATAATGTACCATAATTTTGCCATTTTTACGATATTTAGATTTCTGTTATAAAGAGTTGGCAATATGTTTTGCATTTGTGTCCTGACTGCGATCAGGCGACTGTGACGTCATATCGTATGATTTCAATAAAGCTCCCGGATTGGCTACAACCCATCACGCCACTTTTCCCTCCACGTTTAACCGCCGTTCCAAAAGTTTCCTTGCTGACCAGTCCTCAAGATTCCAACAAACCGTAAACATGTAGTCGGCCGGGTTTTATTTAATTCCCCAAATGGTGTTTTTATTTCTAGTCATTGCACCCCAAACGTTCCAGTGGCGACGAGGTACGAAAATGACTCAACGCGTAAAAAGTTTTTAAGTGATTTAAGTGACAATCGAAGTGCACCGTAGGAAGGTACGTGTGTTTTTAAAAGTGACAATTGAATTTCTAGTGCACCGTAGGAAGGTACGTGTGTTTACAGAAGAATTCGGTCAAGTTAACTTCGAACAGTGCGTGTGAGTGTAAACATTAATGCCGCTTGATGAGAACCTTATTGATAACTTTGGAACTTTATTAAATTTCAAGATGTCGTTCATCGGTGCGATCGGTCCTTTTGATGATTCAGAAGAAACGTGGGACTCATATATCGAGCGTTTTGAATTGTTTGTTACATGTAACGATATTACCAACGCTAAAAAGGTTAGTACGCTTTTGACGGTTGTCGGAGTGAAAACTTATAACCTGCTTAAAGACTTATGTACACCAGACAAACCTGCTACTAAGAGCTACGAGGATATTGTACGGATCATTAAGGGACATCTTCATCCAAAACCTTCTTTTATTGCCGAAAGGTACAAGTTTAGTCTACGAACACAATTAGAGCATGAATCAGTCGCTGATTACATCGTCAACCTGAAGAAACTCTCTGTCAACTGCGAGTTTAAGGACAAACTACCGGATCATCTTCGGGACAGGATCGTAAGTGGGTTGAGGGACGACGCCACCAAGAAGAGGTTGCTGGGCGAAGAAAATCTCACCTTCGAGAAGACGGTCCAAATAGCCACATCGATGGAGTTGGCAGCGAGAGACACCGCGGCCCTGACCTACCACAACACGGGGGGAGGAAGTCGTCTCCACAACGTCGCTTCGAAGCAGCAGCAGCAGCAGCGGAAGCCGTGGCAGCGCTCAAAAAGTGAAGTAAAGTGCTATTGTTGTGGTAAATCTGGTCATTTAAAAAGTGAGTGCCGTTTTAAAAGTTTATCTTGCAATTTTTGTAAGAGGAAAGGCCATTTAGAAAGTGCGTGTCTGATGAAGAAAAACAATGGTGAGTCACAATCTAAATTTGCATTTAATGATAAGCGTAAAGATGGACAAAAGAACTGAACACCTAAGTTTACCTCTGGTAACAAGTCTCATAAGTATAAGCAAAACTATGTAGAGAACACAGGTGTCAATGACAATGACGATGATTATAGTGATTTAGCTAATTTATTTTCCATAAATGATGAGGAAAGTAAACAGAGGGATAGAATAAAACCTATCACGGTTAATCTTAAAGTAGAACATACTGTATTGCCATTTGAGGTTGACAGTGGAGCATGCGTGTCAGTAATTTCTGAAAAGTGT